GGCGTCCTGGAGCGGTCTTTCGGCGACTCGGGGCCCGCTTGGGCCATATTGAGAGCCTCTGGAGGCCCTCCTGGACTATTTTGGACCTCCCCGGCCGCCCCGTCCTCTCATGGGGGGACGGAGGCGGCGGCCTCAGAGGCCCAGGACGCGGAAACCCTGTAAAAACATACGGAAAATGAGCCCCAGTACTCCCATGGCGGCTCTTCGGCACTCTTGGACCGTTGGAAGCTCGAAAACGCGAGAAGCCAAAAACATTGAAAAGACCATTGAACATGTACGACTTTGGCCTCTTCGGGCCGTACCGTGATACCTATCAGACTTCTTGGGGTCTCTTGGAGGCCACCTGGAAGCCTCGAGAGCCGTCGGAAGGCTGACTTGGGCTGCTCGGGAGCGTCTTGGGCCATCCTTTCACATTCTGGGGGCTCCTGGGGGGCGTCTTGGGCCCTCCTGGAGCGCTGTGGAGGCTGCCGGAAAGGCTGGGGCAGCGGTGCCGGGAGCGTCCCCGAGATGTGGCCAAATCGTTTCAGCGCGTTCCGGGAGCATCTTCCCGGAACGCGCTCGTGGCAGGGCGCCCACGTCCGAGGACGTTGGCATGGGAAACCGCAGCGCGTGATCATTCCAGCGCGTTCTGGCGAAGACCGTCCAGAACGCGCTTGGGCAAGCGCTGGGTTTGGGGAAGGCGAGTGGGGACCGTTCAGGCAGTTTGGGATGCTCGGGGCAAGAGGCGGAAGCCATCCTCATAAGACATGCAGTCTTCCTGGAGCCGTCTTGCAGAAAACACACAAAAAACTGAGACCCTGCAGTCGTTCCTGGAGCCGTCTTGGAGCCCTCTTGGGCTGCCCTGGAGCCTGTTGGAGCCCTCTGCGGAATGGTCTTGGAGCCCGCGCCGAGGATCTGAAAAATGTCCGGGAGCATCGCGGCGGCCTTCGAGGCCCGGGACGCCGAAACCGCGTAAAAGCACAGCGAAAATGAGCCCCGGTACTGGAGGGTCGGGCAGCTGTTTTCGGGCCCCTGGGCTAGAACCATCGCGCGCGCTTCGCGCGCGCTCAGGTTCTAGCCCAGGCCGGGGGGGCGCTGGACGATCTTGGACAACGATCTCAAGCACAGGCGCGCGACGGCATCTGAGGAGCTTCTGGGGTGTTCCGCATGCTTCGTCAACTGGCTGATGGAGGCACCTCTTGGGTGCTTCTTGGGGGGGCGTCTGAGGGTCCCTTGGGGGCATCGGTTCTGCAATCTGAAGCTTTCATTGGCCGTCTTGGCTGCGTGGAAGCCCGACTTGAGGCCACCTGCGGCCAGATTGAGGCAATCCGGAAGCCTCCCGGGGGCCTCCTGGAAGCAGTTTTGACGCATCGAGGGCACTCTTGGGCTATTTAAAGCCTCTTGGACGTCTCCTAGGGGCCTTTTAGGCTCTCGGGAAGCTTTTGGGGTCCTCGTCGGACCACTTGGGGGCCTCTTGCGGCCTCCTGTGGGCCTTTTGGGGGGACCGCTCTGCTGTTGGGTCGCGTTCCCCTTCTTGGGCCTCTCTTGGGGCTCTTGGGGCCCTCTCGGGCCGTCTTGGGCGCCTCAAGCACCGTCTTGGGGCCCTCGCGGGCCGTCTTGGGGATTTCTTGGAGGCCTCTTCCTCTATATGGGAGCGGTATTGGAAGCCTCTTGGGCCGTCTTGGAGCATCGGGATGCCAAAAGGCCGAAAAAATTAAAACCCGTCAAAGCCCAATCGTAAAACAATGAGTTGTGCCTCTTGGGGCCACCTTGGGAGATCTCTTGGAACCTCGTCGGCCCTCTTGGGAGCTTCTTGGGGGCCTCTTGGATCCGATTGGGGGCCTCTTGGGACTTCCCGAGAACCTCTCGGGGTAGAAAGCTCGGATTCTCGGTTCGTGTTTCCCTTCTTGGGCCTCTCTTGGGGCCGTCTTGGGGCCCTCTCGGGACGTCTTGGGCGCCTCAGGCACCGCCTTGGGACCCTCGTGGGCCGCCCAGGGCCCTCTTGGAAGCCTCTTCGGCTATCTTGGAGCTGTCTGGGAGGCCTCTTCCTCCTCCTCGTCCCCATCCTCCTCCTCCCACTCCAACTCTCTCTCCTCCTGATCTTCCTCCTCCTCCTCCTCCTGCAGCGTGTTCCGGAAGGCTCCCGCCGGAACATGCTGTGCACAAGTGCTGTCACTGCTCCCGCCACCGTGCCCTGGGTGGTGGGTCAGAGGCCTCATGGGTGTTGGTTTGGATCTCGTGGTTGGCCTGTCGGGGACGTCGTGAAGGCAATTTCGCAGCTTCTCGGTAGCCGTTTTGGGACCGTTGTGGGGCCTCCTCGGGGCTGTCTTGTGGCCTCTTTAGGCCTCGTTTGGGCCTCCTGGGTGCCTCTTGGGGGCCTCCTGGGGCCTCTTGGGGGCTCCTTGGGGCCTCCTGGGGCACTCTTCAAGCGGGAGGGTCGAATTTTGGAGTCGTGGTCCCCCTCTTGGGCGCATCTTGGGGCCGTCTTGGGGCTCTGTTGGGCTGTCTTGGGCGACTCTGGGGCCGTCTTGGAGCCCTCTTGGGCCGTCTTGCGGCGCTCTTGGGAGCCTATTGAGTCGTCCTGGAACGTCGGACAGCCAAAAAGGCTGGAAGGCCAAAATGGTTCGAAAACCTTCGTACAATTGACGATTTCGGCCTCTGGAAGCGCTCTGGAGAGGCGTCTTGACGCGTCGTGGAGTGCATTGGGGGGCCTCTCGGGCCGTCTTGGGCCTATCTTGGGCGTCCTGGAGCGGTCTTTCGGCGACTCGGGGCCCGCTTGGGCCGTCTTGGGGGCCTCTGGAGGCCCTCCTGGACTATTTTGGACCTCCCTGGCCGCCCCGTCCTCCCATGGGAGGTCGGAGGCGGCGGCCTCCGAGGCCCATGACGCGGAAACCAATAAAAACACAGGGAAAATGAGCCCCGGTCCCCCCATGGGGGGTCGGGGCACCTGTCCTGGGGCCCCCGGCCTCGCCCCCACGGATATATATATATATATATATATATATATATATATATATATATATGTCGGACGGAGGAAGCCAAATTAAACACCTGGCGCATCTAGCTGCAAAACAAAACTGGACGTCATCATTTGCGCTGATTGGGGCGTCAAGCGCGTTTGATATCATCATGTCTGTCTGATATGGCTGATCGAAAATGTTTCAACAGTCACCAAATCTTCCGCCCAGAACGACGCATGCATTCTATCATCTGGTGCTGCTATCATCCGCGTTGCCTGTTTTCGAGCAAAGGTAAAGCGCGTTTCACGGGCGCTTGCTTTGGGAACATTTGGCGGCGTGTTTCAAACCGCGGGGTGGGCCCCCCTCCTAACACTCGGCGCCGTCGATCGGAACCAAAGGGGTTCCCCTCCCCCGTAACGCCCCCCCCTCCCGCCCCCCCTCCCCTTCGGCGCCGGCGCCGGCGCGGGCGGCCGCCAGCAGCGCCGACGGCGGGGACGCAGCGACGATGACCAGAGGCAGCCCAAGGGGGGGGTCCAACCCCCCCCCCGGCGCCGGCGCCGGTGCCGGCGCTGGGGGCGGCCAGCAAGGCCCACGGCGGGGACGCAGCGACGATTACCACCACTACCACCACCACAACCACTCCACCACCACCACCACCTCAACCCACCACCACAACCACCACCAACCCACCACACAACCACCACCACCACCACAGCCACCACCACCACAAAAAAACCCACCACCACTACCACCATCACCACAATCTACCACGCCACCACCACCACCGCCACAACCACCACCACTACCAGCAGCACAACCCACCACCAACACAAACCACCACCGAACCACCACCGCCACCACAACCAGCACCGCCTCCACGAACCACCGCCACCACCACAACCCAGCACCACCACCACCACCACAGACCACCACCACACCACCATCAAACCACCACCACCAACACAACCACCACCACTCACCTCCACAACCACCACAACCACAACAAACCAGCACACCACCACCACCACCAACACAATCACCACCAACGCCACCACCACCACAACAACCCACCACCACCACACCACCACACCACCACCACCACCACCACCACCACCCACCACCACAACCATCACCACCACAATAAACCAGCACCACTACCACCACCACAACCACCATCACCGCCACCACCACCACTACAACCCACCGCCACCACCACATCCACTACCACCACCACAGCCACAACGACAAACCACCACACCACCACCGCCGCCGCCACCACCATCTCAACCCACCACCGCCACAACTACCACCACCACCACCACCAGAGACCACCGGTTCACCACCACCACCGCCACCATCACCACCACCACCACAACCTGCCACCACAACCACCACAACAACCACCACCACCACCAACCACCACCACCGCCACCACAAAAACCAAACCCACCACCACAACCACCACTGCCACAACAATCTACCACCACCACCACCTCAACAGCCCATCACCACCACCACCACCACCACCTCAGAGAGGCCCCAAGAGACGCCCAAAAAGGCGCCCAGGAGGCTGCACAAATGCCCCTCTGAGGCCCCCGAGAACCCTCCGACGAGACCCCAAACATCCATTAGGACTCTGACCAAAACCAAAACACGGTGGCGGAGCGTCGTCGTCGTCGTCGTCATCGTCGTCGCCGTCGTCCTCGTCGACGCTCCCCGCCGCCGCCCCCCGCCGCCGCAGGCGCCGGCGCCGGCCCAGAAAAGGAGGTCGTCGTCCCCGCCGCCGCCGTCAGCCGCCGCCGACGCAGGCGCCGGCCCGAGGAGAGGGAAAGAGGATAAGTAGGGGAGGAAAGGGAGGGGAGGGGGGGGGCCCGGATCTGCGCAACCGACAAGGTCAAGTTATCCCAGGGAGGGGAGGGGGGCGGGCGAGCGGGCCCGATAATCCGGGTTATCACCAGAACCCCCAACAAAAACAGTTTCATAGCGGGGAGGACGCGGAGCGTGGAACGAGGCGGCACAGCGCGAGCAGCGGCGTCCGCACCCCCCCCCGCCCCCGAGATCCAAGGGTCGACGGTGGAGCCACAACCTCCGTCGCCGCCGCCTCCTCCTCCGCCGCCAGACCAGGCGTTCCATTTGCCGGCTCCCCCACCTCGGCGGGCCAAGGGGAGGAGCAAACACAGTCGCAGGCGAGCTCTCGCCCCTGGTCCTCGAGGTCCGCCCGAAAAATGAAGGCGCGAGAAGGGGGGAGGGAACTGAGGGATACACGCCGATGGGGGCTACCCAGGCGCACCCCTATCGAGGAGGGACGCCCCCCAGTCGTAGTATCCTCGCGTTTGGCTAGAAGTTTCTGCTACCTTCGAGAACCCGACAAAGTCGGGGATTGTGATTAGCAAGAAAGGCTCCCCCAACCCTTCGGGAGCGGACCTGGCTTAAGTGGCCCAAGACATTGGGGATTCTGGGTCTTGCAGCACACGTATCAGACCAAGCCACCCAGGGTTAGCGACGCTCTTGCAGCGACGGGGTTCTACGTTAGGCTACCTGTTCATTGCGCTGTTAGGGTTGCTCTGGATTTTTGTTTAATGAGCTTGGGGGGGTACTCCCCCAGACGGGGGTCAACCTCGCCTCGTCGTCGCGCCGCGACGTGGGTCGGAGCGCCTTCGGCGCGCGGTGGCTGCCCGCGACGGGGGTCGATGTGTGGCTGTCGGCGGGGGTGACGCCCCCCACCCGACGCTTATTCAGAAACTCGGAGTGGGGGCCCTTATACTCTTGATCATACTGGGGTCTCCACACACCCCGTACAGAGGAAAGAGCACTATGCACATGCACCGATTCTGGCCAGGCCCATCCTGAGCCCAGGATCGGTGCATACACTCTCTACCTTGGCCAGGAAGGCATATGCACCGATCCTGGATCAAGGATGGGCCTTGCCAGGATCGGTGCATGTGCATAGTTCTCTTCGCCCGACCGTAGCAGAGCACGACAGAACGGAACGCTCATGCGGGCCATCGCCTGGGCTCCAAACGCAGCGGAGAGCAGGCGAGGCCAGGCAGCCCTGTGAGGCGCCGCAGGCGTCGTGAGGGTGCCGGGAGAGAAGGAGACCGCGACGGTAAGCAACAAAAATGCATGATGACCTGCCCCGGACCCAAAAGACACATGACTGCCCATACTGGACATAAAGTGACAACTGTCTGTCGATGTAGGGCTCAGTCTGAGCCACGTCGAAATCGCGAACCCGGGGGGGGGGTGGGCTGGAAAGGGGCATGCTACTGCTTGACAACAACCTTTCCACGATTTGCGGCCGCCGCGATCGCCGCGACGGCCTCCAAAACCGACCCCGCTGTCTGGTTCGGGGTGGGATATCACGCGACGGCAGGAGGCAGAGGGCGGGCGGGGCACAGAAGACACCGCCCCGTGTCCGCTTGGCGTGCTAAATGAGCGCGCGCACAGAAAGCGTTGGATCTGGGTCCCGGGAGACCGGAACTTCCGAGACGGGGTGGGGAGGGGAAGGGATGCAAAGAGAAAGCAGGATAGCGATGCCAACGAGGAGGTGGAATGAAAGGGAACATTCAATCAATGAGACATGACGATGAAGGGAGTCAAGTGGATAAGGGCTCCTACCCTTCCCCCTTCACAGCTGTCCCCCATGCTCCACCAATTCCCTCCTACCTTAATGAATGCACACGGCCGCCGGTCCGTCGCCTGGGGGGCTGGTCTGTCAATCGCGTGTGCGCACTTCGACTACTCATGCCGGCTAGATCTATGCGGACACGGAAATCCTGCGCCCTCCTCTCCGTGTCATCCGTGCCGAGCGGTGATGCAGAGCTTGGGCAGCCTTGGAGCCTGGGCAGACTCGGCGGAGCCTGGGTAGGATCTAGGCCTCCCATATAAGGTCGGAGCAGATGGGCTCGGAGGATCGCGCCTCATCGCCGATGCATCGGCGATGCAGCCCGATGTGGAGCCCGATTTTCTCCGCGCCGACGTCGCCGATGCATCGCCGGCTTTGCCGATGCTCTGGTGATGAGGCGCGAGCCTCCGATCCTCCGACCCTCTACAGGTGTGACTCGGGTCGGTGCAGCATCCCACCACACTCGCCCCGTGGGCCGTGGTCGGCCGTCGGCGCAAGGGTTGGCATGGCTCGGGTCGGTATGCCATGGGCCGACGTGGCTCGGTGTGGTTTCCAGCCCCACTGGCTCTGCGTGATGTGGTCGGCCATACGCGCTTGGGTCGGCGGACTCCACACAAACACACACACACACACACTTTTGGCGGTCACGGCCTCGCGAGCAGCGACCAGGCGGAGCATCTTTGTCAGAGGAACTACGAGCGCGCAGAAGATGGGGCAGGTCCACACGCACACACACACACTTACACACACTTACACACACACACACGCACGCACGCACGCACACACACACACTTTTTAGTCGGCGGCAAGGCAGAGTGACTGCGCTGGCGGTGAGGCATTGGAATCACGCACACACACACACACGCAAGCGCACACGCACACGTATCCGCACACGCGTGTTGGGCGGCACGGCGTAGAGAGCCGACCGAAGAGACTCGCGCGGTTGGCCAAGATCACGCGGCACCCACACACAAACACACAAGGGGCTCCGCTCACATGCGTTCCACACGCAGCGGTGTTCATACAATGTTACTCGTATGGGTATTGCGGCAAAGTGCCCACCAACCCTTTCGGCGTATCTGTGTTTGGGAGCTTGTTACTTCAACCTCCGTCTTCTCCATCGGGGAATGGTTCATGGACTAATCACTGCTGCAAATGAATAAGCACAACCTTCCCCACTTGACCAGCCGCCAAACAGAAACAATCATCCTACCCCACCATCCCTGAAACAAAGCACGGCCGCTGGTGACCGTGAGAAACTCTAGATCGTGAGCGGGCACGCCGCAAACACTGCTGATAAATTTCTGACTAGCGGGACCACACACACACATCGTACGCCATGCTGACCACCCCGTCGCCGCGTTACATAGACTGTTGAAAAAGAAAGGGGGTGTCGGCATATTGTTCGATGCGTGCTGTCACGTGCGTTGGTCCGCTGGGCGCCTTCTGCGCGCGTCGCGCACCTGGCGCAGCTGGAGCATATAACATGTTTGGCGCATCTGGCGCACTGGGCGCGCCCCGCACAACTGGGTCACCTGGTGCGCGTGGCACGCGATGCGCGCCTCACCACCGTCTCGCCCTTGGCGTCCGTTTCGGTTCCCAATTGGCTGTCCAGGCGATGGCGACGTCTGCCTGTACTGACTTTCGGGTGTTGCTAAGGATGGGGGGGAAAAGGGCGTGTGGGAATGCGCGGGACAATGTTTGGCGTTCTGGCTTGGGTCTTGACCGCTACCCTTGCCCCATCCTTGGGTCTGGGCGGGAAAAGCCGGCAAAGGGTTCGGGCGTCCGGTGTGGCCCGAGAAACCTTCGATTAGCCCCAGATGGCCCCCTACATGGCTGAATGCGGACCAAACTGACTTCCAATGCGTCCACGAAACACAACAAGGTAAACCCAAGACGGTCCTGACGGGCCACGGGAATCACGAGGACCCATGGGAAGCCCTTGCGTCAGATCCCGCGAGTCGTCTGGGTGTGTGGTTGAGCGAGTTCCCTCTTCCATCCTCCCTCTTCTCCTTCGGGGATGGGTTATCATTGCTCCTTATCAGGATTCCCCCCCCAGGCGACCAGCAACCAAACCAGGAGCAATGAGGACACCATTTTCACCCGCCCCCACAATCTCTGTCAAAAGCGAAACAAGACGCACTCTGCCTCCATATTCGGAGAATGCGCAACCAACCCGATGCAGCAACCAACCCGATGCAGCCGCCCCACCATTCATGCAAAAAAACAATACAACATACACATTGGGGCAACGTCTTGAATCATGCTCGTAAGGCCCGCGATCACTTGATGTTTTTGACAGGGACGGCGGGGGTGTCAGCAATATTGTCCACTGTGCGCAGGGCCACCATCCCTATCAAAACAGCAATACGGGACGCACTCGCGAATACATCTGGATCATGCACAGCCACCTCGCGATCACTGTGAAGTGTTTTGTGACAGGGACGGAGGGGGGGGGTTCTGTATGGCCTGCTGTGCGCAGGCCCACCAGACATAATGATGGGCATCTGTGTTCGACAAGGATGGTGGTGGCCGACATGTTTCCCGATGTGCGCTGTCACGTGTGCAGGCGCACCTGACACACTCTGCACGTGCCCCAAACGTTGCGCACCTGGCTCGGTTGGAGTGTGCAGCACACCTGGCGCACGTGGCGCATCTGGTGCACCAGACGTGCCTGGCACGCTCGGGCCACAGCATCGCGCACATCGGGTCGGTTTTGGTTCCCAGTAGCTGCCCATCCAACAACGAGCGCTGACCATGCTGAGGCTCGGGTGTTGCTCATGTGTTGGGAGGGCGGGTGGGAGTGAGCTAGACGGCTTGCTATCGGGGAGGGTGTCTTGACCTCTCCCTCTACCCCCACCCCCTCGGTCTGGCGAGGGGGGAGGGGGTCGCGACCGGTTGGAACATCTCAAATGGCCCAAGACGGCTCCAAAACGGCCTAAGTGAACGCAAGATGGTTTCCAACATGGGCAAGATGGGGCAAAGACGCTGAATATAACTCCCAACCTGCTCCGAGAGGACCCCAGAGCGCCCCACGACCGCTCCGAGTGGCCACGGAACACCTGCACGATGGCCCGACAAAGGCCAAAGAAAATCCCCCAAACCGCCCAAGAGAGTCCCAAGACGGCCTCAAGAGCGCCCAAGAGCGACCCAACCAAGGTCGAAGGGGCGAGCTTCGGAGATGCAGAGGGGGGGCTCTAAATAGGGACTCCCGTTGAATCAAACCGAGCTCCTCCAATATGGCCCCAAAATGGCCCCCAAGAGGGACCCAAGAGGCGCCCAGGAGGCCCCACGAGGCCCCCATGAGGTCCACGAGAAGCCCCCAGGAGACCCCCGCGAGACCCAAAGAGGCTCCTCCGAGCCACCCGACAGAACGCCCCAAGAGGCTCCACAGGACCGCCAAAAGGCCATCACGACGCCGCGCGGAAACTCCAAGAGTCTTCCAAGAAACATCCGAAGAGAGTCCGATCGGCATCCAAGACTCCTTCGGCCTGTCTGCTCGCCCTCTTCCTCCTCCCCCTCAC